TCATGCTGAGGAGGACAGGGCGGCAGAGGGCAGGTGCCAGTACAGAGTCAGCCCCACACCTCCTTCTCTTCTGAGTTCCAAGAGCAGTAGAGACAGAGGCCACGTGTGGAAGTCAGAGACCACGTGGGGGTCCTCCACCAGCCCAGCCCCACCCAGGGCTACTGACAAGGCACCAACAGGGCTGAGACCCTAGTTTGGATGTTCAGCCTGCGGAACTGGGAGAAAATAAAGATCCTTTATCTTAAAAGCATCCACTTGTGGTCTTCGTGTGACAGTGGCAGTAGGGCACCAGGACAACTTGCCAGGACTCCTGGCTCCCATCGTGTTGAAGATAGCTATGCAATGACACCACCCAGTGCAGGTGGCACAGCAGACGTCAGCCCGCCGGGTCCTCCTGCCAACGTTAGAAAACAGGAACTGCTATTGGCACCCCGGTAGGGAAACAGGCACAGGCAGTTGGACAACGGGCTGAGCATCAACCAGGGAGCTTACCGGTTGGGGCTCAGTTCTGGCTGTCCGACAGAGAGCATGATGCGAAGCCTTGCTGTCAGAGAGCAGTGTAACATCGGTGATGGCAGATGTGCGTTAGGTTAAAACGTAACCCCTTCTTTGATCTCCCTTTTGACTGGTTCTAAAGTTCCTTCCATTTTAAACACCCTCTTTCTTTTTGATTGAGTTTTTCTAAGTCATCGTTGTTGGCTGGTTTCTTGGCGTCCTGTCTGGTGTTTGGTCTGATTTTCGGTATATGAGACCCAGGATAGGTAGATCTCGAGAGACGTTAACTGGATTGGTGAGTACCCAGGGCCGTGGTGGCGAGGATGAGGGTGACTGGGTGCCAGCAAGGAGCACGAGAACACGTTCCGACACTGATTGTGGGACGATTGCACAGTGCTTCTTAATGTGACCGAATGATTAGATTGTCAGATATGAACTATATGCCAATAAGATTATTGTTTTTTACTACCGAGGGACATGGGAGGGGAGGTCAGGGGGAAATGGAGCTAACGAGTCAAGAAAGGTGCCGATGCTCTGAAATTGCGATGATGGCATTTATCTTCATCCGATTGAACTATCAAATAGTTATCAGGTGACATCGACGTGGTTCCGACCCGTAGCGGCCCTACACATAACAGAACTAAACACTGCCCAGTCCTCTTTGAGCCCACCGTTGCAGCCACGTGCCCGGAGAGCCACGGTGCCTCTCACTGTTGCAGCCACGTGCCTGGCGAGCCACGTGCCTGGCGAGCCATGGTGCCTGTCTTTTTCACTGCCTCTCCACCTTACCAAGCATGATGTCTTTCTCCAGGGAGTGGCCTCTCCCGACAACATGCCCAAATGATTTGAGAGGGAGCCTTGCCTCTAAGGGTCACTCTGGCCTTCTTTCTTCCGAGACAGACCGGCTGTCCTTTTAGCAGGCCCTGGCACGGTCAAGGTTCTTCACCAGCACCGTAATTCAAATGCCCTGATTCTTCTTCAGGGTTCCTTCTTCCGTGTCGACTTGCACAGGCATGTGGGGCCATGGAAAACACCAGGGCTCGGGTCAGGTGCACCAGAGTCCTCAAAGTCACACACACCCTTGCTCTTCAACACTCTCCAGGTCTCGGGCGGCAGATTGACCCAGTGCAATGTGTCCCTTGCTTTCTTGACTGCTGCTTCCAGGAGCAGTGATTGTGTCTCTAAGCAAGACCACATCCTTGACCATTTTACTCATGCTTCCATCTATTCATGTGACCTGGTGGTCTCGTTGTGAGGATTTTGGTCTTCTTTACATTGCATGGCAATCCATACTGAAGGCTGCAATCCTTGATGTCTGTCAGCAAGTCCTGAAAGTGAGGATGATTGTCACCTGCGGACTGCAGGTCATACTAAGCCATCCTCCAATCCTGATGCCACATTTCTCCCCCATCTAAGCCAGCTCCTCTGAGGATGCGCTCGACTGAGTAAGCAGGGTGAGAGGATACAACCCTGACACACACCTTTCCCTGACTTTAACCCATGCAGTGCCTCTTGCTCCATGTATAATAAAGTGTCACGGAATTCTCATTCCCCTCAAAGTCACCCATAGTTTGTTGGGACCCACACAAAGGCCTTAGCCTAGGCAATCAAACACAGGCATTTTCTTGATCTTTGCTTTCAGCCAAGACCCATCTGACGTCAGCAACGGCATCCCTGTTCCATGTCCCCTTCTGAATCCGGCCCGAATTTTGGGCAGCGCCCTGTTGGTGCACTGCACAATTGTTGTTGAATGATCTTCAGCAAAACGTTGCTTGCATGTGCTACCAGTGGGACCACTCCATTGGACGAGCATTCTGTTGGATCACCTTTCTTTGGAAT